GATATGAAAGACATTATTCCAGTATGTTGCTATACAGGGACAATTCCAAAACATATGCGCCAGTGAAGCAGGTTGCTGTTTACATCTTTCGCAGGACGAGTTTACATTGGGGAACATTTTTGACAGTTTCAACTTTGATGAATGGAGTCTAAGTAGCACTTTAAACTGTAAGAGTCCATGACGAATGCAAACAGAGGAAGAGTGTACATTTTCCTGGGCTTTTGTCCATTGATTGTCTGTAATTCTCCTACCAAGGTCACACTGCCAGGCCTCTCTCAGATAGTCAAGTGTGATAGTTCCATCCAGTTGTGACAATGCGTTGTGAATTTTTGTTATTAGTCCTTTCTTGAGTGGATCAAATAAATGATTATGCTTTTAAGAACAGATGAATGTTACAAACACAGCATTACAATATATATTTCATCTCTTCCCTTGTGTCTTATGACAGAGATCGTTGCTTTAGGCTTTTGCCTTGAAGAGAACATATAGCTGAGAGAAAATCATCAACATTCACAACAACACATCAGGGTATCGGGCCACTTGTCTGAGACCGAGGTATCTAACAATACTCTCAACTGCTTTTCTTGCCAAGTTCTCCGACTTGAGAAAGAGCAGATCTAAGGAGGAATGTGCCACCGCCTTCATTACAAGTTTTTGACTCCTTTCATGACAGCACAGCAGCAAGAACAAGTTTGTGTGACTGCACAGTTGATGTGAACCATTCTTATCATTGTTAGCATTGTCTCTATGCTGGGACACACATTCGAAGCTGGAATCGCAGTAATATCTCCCGGAGATGCTTTGATGCATTTCCTTGCCTGCCAGCATGCTTTCTGCAGGAGGCTCCCCACCTTTTTTACAACAATAGTTTAAAATCTGGTTGTCCTCTGGCGGCTTCAACACAGCCATCCATCCTAATTTAAACATTTTTAGCTTTGAACTTCCTCAAACTGTTTGCTCCACACATTGGAAGAGACCTTGAATTTTGAGCGAGCACTCGCTGACCTGCGAAGCCATCCTCTTGTTTCTTTGAACAGATATTACTGTTCAACACAAAAGCTAATTAGCTGAGTGAAATTGAAGCGCTATAGAGAGTAAAGCAAAGGAAACCTAACAACACAAACAAACTTCTTGTGTGTTGGAGGAGCTAAATGGTGAGAGTCAGCATTCGCAAACAGGGTTTCCTATTTGCACAGTATTAACCGCAGGGAGTTCCTCTGCGGACTGCAAACATGTTTTCCACTCAACAACCGTTTCCTCTTGGGGCCTCTTAGTGTTTTCCACCACCACTTTCTCTTAGGTTGGACCAAATAAGTCGTACAGTAGCGCACAAGTCCCCAGTTGTCCATTATGAAGCTGCGCTCATTAAGTGGCTGCTAATTTGTCCTGCGGTCACCCATATACGTCACAACGAATCACAGGGAATTTCAGCACTCCTGCTATACACAGTCCCGCAGGAGAAATGTGAGGTAGCAACAGCGCCTTGAAGCAATATGGAAATATTACTATTTTAATGGACTTCCATGTTATACTAACTTGCTACAGCCAAGTGTTTTGCAGTAAACACTTTGATCCACTCAAATCTTCTAAACTTTGGAACAGAGGGAGTAATTGGGTGGATATAATGAAGTGTTCCAGTCCTATAGTGATTTAATCCTTCGACTGGTAATGCATGCAGCGCCCACAATTCACTGCCCTTTCCTTATGCTACGTTAGCATTTTATTAAATGCAAATTGAACAATTGTAAATGAGAAAATATGTTTAGTCTGCAGAAAAATGCCTGTTAACTATTTAATCAACAAGTCCCCCCTTTTTGTATTACAAGTATCCATGAATTATTCATCAGCACTAATAATGCATTTGATGTTAATCAGCATGCGCTGTTTAACTAAAACTTGAAGCATTACATTTCATCTGCAGAGTGTTTAAAGACGGATGATGTCCATTGACTCACAAATAAAGAATTGTTTTAAAGCCCCTGTTCCAACCATCTGTTGTTTACAGATTTATAGCCCTGTTTTGTCTTGGGGGGAACTCTTATGGGCCCTTTTTTGCCCGGGCGCCTCATTTGCTATGCAGTCTGTCCATTAGCTCGGTGCCCTTCTGCTCAAGTCAGAGTTATGCAAAGCGGATAACTTAGCTGAAAGGTAAAATAAATAACCTGTAACAAACATGATGCCATTAGTCAGAAACACTGACTGGTGGCTTTCCAAGGTTTGTGAGAAATGCCCCGATGATGATACGAAGGTTATTGCGATTTGCCTTTGAGAAGAAGTTTGAAAACTCAGCATTAATAAGACATGCAGGGTTTAATGGGAGTCGTTTAAAAGTTCAGGATCTAAAGTTTAGAGGTTTAATCATCCACTGAAAGTCTTTAGACTGCATTTTCAGTTTGGGGCATTCTCCTCTGTTTCGTGTTTCCTTAAGTTCCTCAACTTTAAAGTTGTGCAGTAATAAGTCACTGGGATAACCATTATATCCTCGATGTCTCTGTTTAATCTTTAGTTTTCTATTCAGATTTTAATAAACCAACACAGCCCTCACTTCTGCAGTTCTTTTTAACTTTTTGTGCCTTTATATTTTTAAAATTCACTAACTTTTTGATGCAGAACTTAAAAGACTACTGCTGCATCGATTTCAGCCTAACCATGTAAATAAATAATACAACGTTTTTTTCTGCAAGAACCCAAATAAAAATATAAAGAATCACTTGACATTTCCAAAAAATGACCACATAAGCTTTTCAACATTAGACAATAAACATGTCAGTAAAGACATATATAACTGGAACATTACTATTAAAAGTATAAAACCATGTTATTATCGCCTAATGTGGATGTCATGGTTTGCCAAGCGTGTAGATTAGAAAGGAGCCAAACGCAGACAATGGAGATGAATATGGATGTTAACAGAGAATGAGCCTTTATGGCTGAACAGATGTTACAAATAAACGGCAAGGAAAACTAGAAAAGAACAAACAAAAGCTATACTGGGAAAACTAGCCTGAAGCCTGCGACACGGAGGGAATGACACACAGGAGAGATGCAGCAATGCAGACGATCCGACGGCAAGCAAAGAGGGAAACGAGGAACAGGAGGGAGACACAGCGAGGGGAGCAAAAGTAGACACTCTGACACAGCACAAAGACTATCAGAGTAAAACAGGAAATATGACACGTATGTACAGTCACAGACATCACAGACATGGCAATAGAGCGAACATGGCGAGGCGGGGCCAGGACGCAGAGGCACAGACTGGACACTGAACAGAAGGAGCACAGAATCTAAACCTAAGAACAAAACTCTTAAGAAGAATTAAACACCAGATAATAATAATCAAAACAGCACAACCAGAGAATCGGATCATAAACCATAATACAGAATAATACCAAACCCCAAGAAACTCAGAATGCTGGGTCAAGCTGACCCAGAACCATGACTGTAGATCTTTAACTACTTGATTTTGTTCTTTGCTTGGAAATAACAGTGCACTCAAATTCACTATTGGGGCTGCTGAAGTTTCATATACTGTAAATATTTATCCCTCAGTTGTTGTAAAAGTCACATTTGCAGGACTAGAGGCCTAAAACCAAATAACACCTTACAAATACAATCATATGTGCAAAGTCAGGCTTGCACACCTTCGTAGACACAAATCAAAAAAGACATTGCA